TAAACTTAATATTATAAATATATATTATCATATATACATTACAGAAAATAAAGAATAGAAAACCGCATTCAGAATAAAGTATAGATATTTTAAATACTTGATTATATTATTTAGACTTACTAACGCACCAGCGTCATTTCAGTAATATATTAATAAAGTTCTTGGAGAATATCTTGATAGGATTGTAATCACTTATTTGAACAATATATTAATCTTCTTAAAGATTAAGAAAGAATATATAAGACATGTAAGACTAGTTCTGCATAAACTACGCCTATATTAGTTATAATATAAGCTAAAGAAGTGTGAATTCCATATATAGAAAACAGAGTTTTTAGGATATTAAATATCTATAGAGAAAATCTATACTGAGCGAGTAAAAGTACAAGCCATACAGGATTAGCCTTAATCTAAGAATCTAAAAGAATTATAGCAGTTTATCAGATTAATTAATTACTATTAATAATTCATGGACAGATATGCTATCTATATAATACCATTCTTTAAGCTTATAAAGAAATTAAAAAAGTATCAGTAAAAAGAACCACAGCAGAACACGTTTGAGAACATCAAGCAGCAACTCATTATATCACTAGTACTTATACAGCACAATCTAGAGAAAGAAACAACCATCGAAACCAACGTATCAGACTATGTTATTAACATGCGTATAACACAACCCGGAGAAGACAGAAAGCTAAGACTAATTATATTTTACTTAAGAAAGTTAGTTCAAGCAGAACTCAACTACGATATTCATAACAAGAAATTACTAACTATAGTAGTAATATTTAAGTAGTGAAGGATCTACCTTAAAGGAGCAAAGCACACCATTATTATAAAGACAGACCATAAGAACTTGACCTACTTCACAACAACCAAAGAGTTGACCAGAAGGCAAGCACAATAGGCTAAGATTCTGTTATAATATGACTTCAGAATCATACACTGCAAGAAAGCAGAGAATAAATATACAGATACATTGAGCTGCAGGCCAGACTATGAATTAAGTAGAAAGACTATCAAACCAGCCACCCTGAAGCAAAACACGGATGGGTCGATCAGCTACAACAAGACCAATCTAGCAGTAATGTTGAAAATAGGCAGCAACCTAACCAAGCAATTGGCTGAAGGTATAAAAAATGATAAAACATTCTAAAAAATAAGTAAGGACTTACTAGACAAGATCATTATTAATAAATATAGACTAGCACATTTTCACAGATTAATCTTTATACCAACCATAATAAGAATAGAGATTGTGGTTAGATACCATGATAAATCGCTTAAAGATCATCTAGAAGTAGAAAAAATAACTAAACTAATCGCGAGAAATTACTACATTCTAAACCTTAGACAAAAAATACACGATTATATTAGACAATACAAGACTTATATTAAGAATAAGTCTACAAGATACCAGCCCTACAGATAAATATAAGTACAGGAGACGCCACAATAACCATAAAAATAGATAATAATTAACTTTATTAGTCCATTATCAGAATCAGAAAGATTTGATATTATTATAGTCATTACTGATCGCCTTACTAAATACATCTATCTTATACTGAGTAAGATAATAATAACAGTAATATAGATGATAGAACTGTTTTTAAGAAACATTATTATATATTATAGGATACTAAAGTACATTATATTAAATTAAGATAAATTATTTATCTTAAAGTTCTGGAGATCACTCGCAAATCTTATGAAAATTAAAGAATAAATAATAACAGCTTATCACCTGCAGACAAATAAACAAATAAAAAAGATTAATCAGATAATTAAGTAATATTTAAAACACTATATAAACTATCAGCAGGATGATTAAGCAAACTTGTTACTGATAATATAGTTCTTATATAATAACACTAGTTACTTGACTATTAGAGTCTCACTGTTTTACACTAATTATGGATATTACCTGAGGTTTCTGAAAATACTATTAAAAAAACAATAAGTTATTAATATAGCTGAGAATATTGTTATATTCACAGGAAACATATATCTATAATTATCCTGAGATATTGAGTTCATGAACTTGTATAATAAGATATATTATAATCATAAATATAGAAGGGAACCTAACCTTAAAAAAGGAAAGAAGATATTCTTACTCTGTAAAAACATCAAGATAAAATAACCAAATCAGAAGCTTAATCATCACAAGCTAGGATTATTTATTATTAAAGACAAGAAGAGACCGGTCAACTATAAGTTAAGATTACCAAAATCAATGAGCAAAATTCACCCAGTGTTTCATATCTCATTGTTAAAACCTGTACCAAAAAATGCTAGAATCGCAGAAAATATGGAGATTGACAACAACACAGAACAAGAATACAAGATTAAAAAGATCCTGGACCACAAGAAGATTAGCGGCAGGTCAAAGTATCTGGTGAAATGGGTAGGATATGATACCTCAGAAAACACGTGGGAACTTATCGAGAATTTGACGGGCTGTTACCAGCTTGTGGAGCAGTACTACCGACAGACAGGTCGAAGTTCGCCCAGAAAGAAGGGGAACCAACCAACTGAGTCAGACTAGGAGTGTCTGACGCAGCGGCAAGTTGAGCGGCGTCGTGTTCGTCAGCCAGACGCTCTAGCTCTCGGAGGTCCTCGGCGCTTGGAGGATCCTCATCGTCCAGTTGTTCCAACACATTTGAGTCGTGATCTAACATCCGACCACCACGATCCTTTAGGAACTGTTGATGTTTTTGCAAGCGGATGACCTTTGCCATCGCTTGATTCATCTTTTCGGAATATTGCAGAAATTGCTGTTAGGCCACTGCAAGATCGGCCGCAACTTTTCGCTCATTTTGCTTGAGCTCATCCTATTCTCGGTCACTATGGAACTGTTTTTCGCACTTACGACCGCGCAAGGCACAAGCCGAACATTTCTTGCTTCGAGCAGACGAACTCATGATGCAGACCTTGCCCCGAGAAAAACAGAAGGCACAAGGAGTGTCAACGGGACGACCGGAGTTTTCGATCCTATCGGCCAAACGTTTGTTGTCAGCGTACTTGTCGCGTTTAGGCATGATGACCCATCCTGGGGAGGAAAAGAACTGAAGAACCCAGCCGACGTGCACACGGGGGCACTCACCTTTATGTTCTTAGGGACAAGAACCTCGAAGGGAGGGAGGTGGTGTTACGGACCCCTGCTAGCTAAAGGGACTAGTGAGGCGGTTACGTCAGGCAGAAGGGCTGTACTCGGGAAGATGCAACTCTTATCAGGGAAGACCCGAACTGAGCCGCTACGTGTCACGAGTCACGTGACTGCGGGTATACGAAAGGGTATATGGTCGGGTATATGGTATATGCCAATGGTATATAGAATGGTATACGGAATGGTATACGAGGGACAGATATATAAGGACACTCCTTCCTGTACTTAGCTAGTTCTGTTCTTTGTGCTCAATTACAATTGTCTTTAAGTAACCTACGTTTTGGTAGAGCTTAGCGATAACACTCGTCCGCACTTACTTACGGATAGCTGCGCGGCACTATCTGGCCTTACTTCTCTTCTACTGTTCAGATCAAGTCACCTTTAGATAGTCAACAGCCTGACTACCTTTGATTCAGTTCACAAGGTACGTATCGGAACGGGAGCTAAGCTAACAGGAACAGGGAGAAGCGATCCTAGGGTTTGACATATTATTTCTATCTGTATGCCTTTATATTCTTTATATCTTTATTAATTATTTAATATTACTTACTTTATACTATTAAAATAAGTGTATAGAAGTTTAATAGAATGGCTAATTTGCCAGGATACTTATTATATTAATAAGATTAATTTCTTAAATATATATCCAGATACATGTTTTCTTATCTTTAAAGAATCAACTATACGCAACATCTTTAAGACTTTAGGATTGGTTCTATCCCAGCTAGACAAGGTTCTTAATAGGCTGGTTATACAGCTCCGTGAGCCTATTCTAACTGACAGTATTTTTACTATATTAAGTGTTAAAAATATCTAAGAATACAAGGCAGTTACGGAGACATGAAACTACTATTAAAAGGCTTCTTTGTAAACATATAATTAGCCTATCTTTACAGATGAAAGCAGTGTTATTCTATGTTATAAAAGGATGTGAAATCGCTTTCAACCGGGCTGCTTTGCTTGAGCAGGAAGTCGACGAATTACAGGCTGGATTAGAGAGGCAAAACACTAAGAAGAAGAGGACTTATTGCCAAATGGCCGGTCTTAACGGCCTCACTGTTGAAGAGGCTAAAATCGCGTTCAAACAGACTTGCGAGGCTGATCAAGTTGGTGGAAGTCAGCTTGTAGAATCAGCTACAGGCGAGGAACAGCCTTGCTGCCGGGCACCATCTCGCTGCAGCGAGTGTGGAACAATTGGGCATATAAGAACAAGATGTCCAACACGTCAAAACACCAGTTAAACACGTTATTTTGTTGATATAGTGGACTATATAAGCTTCATCTTTTCATGGAGGCATGTTTGGCCGGGCGCGCCGGCCCACTCGCTTGTGGATTACGTTATCAGCAGGTAGTGATTAGGTAAGGATCACCATCCGAACCCGTTCTATCACATTTCTGTTGGTTTATACATATTTCATTTAACTTATAACATGATTCTTGAAGTAGACAATAAACCAGATTTGCCCTATAGTCTATCGTGATAAACAACCAGCAAAATGACAAGTTAATTCACATGAAAACAAACAAACAAATATATATATGTATTAGAACAACTGCCAAGCACATAAAGTAACTTGGTGTAAATGTAAAAGGCCATAACAGCCATGTGTTAGTCCAGAGTCTAACATGAACCGGTCAGCCAGTTTGAAGAATAAACCTCGAATTAAAAGCCGTATATCTATATTATCAGGTATAAAATCATAAGGTGATGTATCAAGTCATCGATAAGCATGGCTGGAACTCCACCAAGGAACAATGTTCCAGTGAGTTCATTTGGACCACCCAAACCAAGTGCCACTTTCAAAGAAGCTGTCAACCGTGAATATCACTGGGATTTCTTCATTCCCCTCACCGCTTTGTTCTCCCTTCTGCGCTTGATAGCTTCTGGAGAATATTCGGTGTCCAGAACGTAATCCCACCACCTGAAGCTGCTGGAATAATTTCCTACAAACTTCTCATGATGAAGATCATGGTGGTCTGCCCCGGCCCAGAATGGGAGGAAATGATGGAGACTCCAAGGGAACTCATAACCACTGTGTGCATCGATAGCTTGGAAAAGCCGCAATACGATCCAAATGTACATCGTGAAAATATGTAGATCCCCGGTCACTGCACACCATAGAATTGGACAGCCAACGGTACCGAATCCAAGGATCATGACTTCAATAGGAGACGCATATTCAGCGGCCATGCCAAAGGGTGCAGAGTATTGGTGGTGAATCTTGTGTATAGCTTTGTACAGAGGCCCCCAGTGAAGAGCACGGTGGGAAAAATAATGCCACGTGTCCTCCAAGACAAAAAATATGGCGATCTGATATGCCATGGTCCACAAAGAAGGGAAGGGAACAGAGGTCGAAAGGCCAAAGAACTGAGCCATTGGGTGGAACAACCTGAAATCATTAGTGACCTAATCGTAAGGGGCTGGCTCCGCCAATGCTCCTTACCAAATCTGAGGCAATTCCACAGTGAAGTGACTAAGAAGCACGAATTTTGCGCAATCCCATTGCTCTCGTACGGATGGTACTTTGCTCTGCGGACCAGTTAGAAATACAGTAGCTAGACTTGGTTGATATAACACTCACACTTTGAATTTTGTAGGTCTTGAATAAACCCAGGCTGTCTATGAAGATCCAGGGAAGGGATCGCCCAAAGTATACAATTTCATGCATCATAAAAGACATTATTCCAGTTGCAAGAACATCATTTTGCATCCAGGCATACCATGCTGTCCATAGTCGTTCGACCACATTTAAATGGGTATTATACTTGGAAATTTCTTCGAATTGGCCCCAATACGTTTCTGGCGATGACAAAAGAGTGGAATTCCTATTCTCCTTTAGTGCTCGTGTATGAAAGGACTCACACAGGAAAAGCAACTCACATGATGCTGATATGCAGGCAGACTCTTTCCCCTTTTCTTCTCGTTTGTCCTTCGAATTAAGCCTCGCTACTAGCGGCGTGGAATTGCGCAAGCGAGGCAATTCTAACGTGTTCGGCTAGTCGGAGTAATGTAATCGGTCAATGGCCAACGTGGCTATAGTCAATGGAGAATTTCAAGCGTCAAGAGACGGGCAATGGAATGTTGGCTAGGAGAGTTGGTGGTACTCGGCCGGTATTTCAGGAACACCAGTGGAAGAACCGCGCGATCAGGACGTCCACTCCCGAGGTGGCGAGACCTTTCCCCCTGGCCTTGAGCTTTCTGGCACCACTGGCTAGCCGACTGGGACCGATGCTAGCTCCACTTAGCCACTGTCCATTAATGTTGATCTGATTATTATTATTCCGATCCCTAGCAGCTAGCCTGAAGCAAGTACACTACCTACTTTTACTACACCAATACGAGCTCCGTAGTCCTTACCGTCTACCAATCAAGTTAGCTACCACTTACATTCCATGTCATCAATTTGTCGCCAAAGGTGAATCATACACAGTACGGAGTAAAGATTTAAGATGGATTGTCATAGATCTCTTCCGTACACTGAGAATATGTGTTTCTCATCTATTTCCACGCTCAAGCGTTCAAGCGAATTGCCTTGGACACAGTGGAGTCTAGACCTTTCTCCCGTTCTCCCGACCGATTTGTTTTCTCTTTGACAGCATTTTTACAACGTATCGCACCATGATATATGAAGCTATAATTTCATTGGCGACTTCCTTTGTTTTTAGGCACCACAACACTGACCATCTTTATAACTATGGTCTATTGATTATTAACGAGGCAGTAGTTGGACACAGTATGCAGCCGCACGTAGTACACTCTATCGAGTGGATGCTTAATTGATGTTTGCATATTTTGTTCATTACGCATGACGCCATTTCTCTCGGCCTTGTCTTCTAGCCTGGCCTCAATTTTACCTTTCGATGTATCTCATTCCAAGCCTTTCCCTCCCACTTGGTTAAACTATGTATGCGATCAGAAAGTAAGTTCCTCAATGCCTTCGTCCATACGTTTATCTCAAGTTGTTATAGCAGAGTTTACTATCTGGATACGCATCTGGATAAATTGCAACAGCGAATTAAAGATAATTCATATCTTACTTCGTTAGACTTACACGAACATGCATGCCAAACAGATTACTCTGTTGAAAATATTGCGACATTGGATAGGATAATAGACTCGCTTTCTATGATATACAAGTCTCGACCAATGCTACGCACAGAGCAGGTCGTGAATTTGATTGCCGAATACCCTGGGGATCTGCTCGCTGTTAATCATACGTCTCCAGACCATAATATATTTAGAACACACGTGATAAATACTTCTTGGCTGTTAGCTGCTAAAGCTGCGGTTCAAACTCTTGGGATTATACTGAATACCCTGTCAGAGGATGTGCTCGCCCTCGATGACGAGATGTCCTACTGGGATAGCGTCTCAGAGTCTCATTGGTGCCTGGGATTATACATGATACAAACATTTCCCGTGGTACTGTGGAGCCGATTCGGGGTGAATTCTTTAATTTGGTGCAATGCTAATTCCAGGGACAAACCCGCGGTCCCTGTTACGTATGGATGGATGCAATTCTATGAATCTGCCCGCCGGTGTATCCTTTCACAGACAATATATCCTTGGCGACGACTTCGATCAAGCCTTTCAACGGCAAAGTCAGAAGTACGACAGAAGCGAAAATCTCTGAATCTAATGAAGGATATGAACGCCAGCAGTATTGGTCTTCTCATACGAAAATGTTTCTCACGTGAAGTTGGCGATGGTTTCTTGGGCGCCGATGGCTATGGTTCATTTAATGAAAACTGGCAAATCAATGTTCTCGAGAGTGTTGCTTTGATGAAAATACTGCTTGAAGATGCGGCAAATGGCAGAGTTACTAGCAACTGCGAAGATAGCACTATGGCGATCGACCTGGAAGTCTCTTCATTGCGGATGCGTTACTGTAGTGACCCATCCTCTGAAGGGCCAAAATTTGTCATTCAGCAAGTCAGCTATATACTCGAAGAGCTTCTTCCCGGCCATGCTAGAGTTTCAGCGACAACGATCAGCAACTTTGGACGTCCCCATTACTTAGTCCGCTATTGGTTACCGGTTTCCTTTGCACTATTCTCGGCAAGTACATCACTGGAGCTGTTGAGAAACAGACGCCATGAGCTTCTAAGATGGGTCGCCGACCTTGGTTCAACTACCATCGAGTTTTGGAACAACTGGGTTGTAGACCCTCTCCGGAGACTTATTGGAACTATCCGACATGATGAAGAGAGTGAAATTGCGTTGATGAGTAGGAACAGCTTGGAAGCCGATCGAGCGAGTTTGGAAAGGATGGTCGTGGATTTCGTTCTCGACCGCTGTGAACCAAGCAGCAATAATCATGACTTGTTTAACACTCACTCCATCACGGCCAAAGTTAGGGAAGGTGATTTGACACCCGTGCTGAAGGCATATGAAAAAGACCTGCGTAGTCCCTTTGTCGGGACCATACGAGGTGATTTGGTACGAGCGCTCTTGATACAGATACAGAAGACAAAAGTAGACGTCGAGATTGCTATTGGCGGGATTGACGCATTGCTGAAAAGCCAGGAGCTGGTTTTCGGGTATGAAGCACGACCAAGGATAGCGGAATAGCTTTTAACTTGTTGCAGGTTCATTGGATTGACACCTGGTATATTGGTGTCATATACATCTCTTCGTTGGCTTTACGGCTTGTTTGGCAGCAGAAAAGGCCTGAGAATGGGTAAGCAGCAGGACGAACTGAGGCATGCCCTCCGGTAAGTTGTCGCCTGATTTTACAGAATTAGTTTGATCTGGATCTCATACTTTGCCCCAGGACTGTCCATCGGACTTTGACGTTATCAGCTCCCACTGCTGGTGGTGTTCTCACTGTTAGGGATTATGGTCTTCTAATTTGCAACGCCGAAGCCTTACTTTCGAAGGCGCGGACCATATTGAGAGGCACGGATCTCCGCTCGTTTCAGGAAGATATCAGTGACTTAATCGAGCGAGATAGAGTTGATGGACAACTAAGGGTCGTCGAAAGGATGGCTTGGGTTTATTCAAGATAGATTTGACGACAAATCTGTATGCACAATAATCGGAGCGATGCTTTTGTACATTTACTTGGTGGTATCTTGAGTCATCCTGCGACTCAATGCTGCCAAGGCGAAGGGCAATGATCTGGGTAGTCAGCCGGACTACAGAAATCATATGCTTTGTTTCTTTTTGATGCTAAAGATATGATGCGAATGCGGAATAGTAGCATTCTAGGGGAGTTATTATTTCGCTTCCTTTCTTAGCCCATCAAGATTATCAAGCCCAGCTAAAAAGATGAGCAGTTTCTGCTCATTGCAATTACAGCTGGTTGCAATTTCCAGTTGGAAGAAGCCCGTATGGCTTCATAGTCCGAAATTGCTCTAGTTACTCGGCTCCGAGAACCGTAATGCTACAGAACAATGAAGCCGAAGGAGACCGATCATTTGTAGCAATAACCAAGAACGATTTCATTTGCCCCAGGTTTATTTCATCGTATTTAGAGAATTTTTTTGAACCGTGGTCCTGCGTAGTATATAAATGTTAATACTTTTCCGCGGGGTGCGCCTAGACAGAACGATACTAGGCGATTACACAAGTGCCCGGGATACTACTCCGCCTTAATCGGTACACGCATGTTACTGCTACATCCCTAGCTTACCCTGAGAGCTAAGGGTTCTCAGAAATCGCCCACTGTTACTGCTCCCTATAGGCTAAGATTAGCCATCTCCTCAAAATTTGAAGACTAGGCAACTCAAGGTCGCGGATATTCCCATACCTGAACAAAGGGTCTCCGATACAACACCTGTCTTGTTCCGTCCCGTCCCCTGACCCCATTCTCCGGACCGGCGCTTGGCTCCGTGGGAAGTTCCTGAAACCAGCACCTGCCACTATTCGATGACTGCAGGAGCTTTGCAGTGAGTACCACCAAAGGAGATCAGCACTTAAATTAAGTAAAGTGAAGGCTGATCGCATACAAAGAGGTAACAGCCCGGGTATAAAAAGGTTCAAGGTGTGAAGAATAAAAGAGAGAGGGGGGAAGAAAGACTGACACAGAGGGAGAGGGGAGAGTAACGCCAGACAAACGGATAAATCCGAATATCAAGTAGGGGCTATCACGACGCCGGACCTGGTCCAATTCTACCGTTTATCCCTTGCCCTCTGCATAGCTCAAATTTGGAATATCAACATGGCCGGTACAAGGAATTACGACTTTTTGGTAAGTTCTGACATATTTCCCAAGCATCAAATAAGCTAAGTGTCGTTCTTTACAGATCAAGCTACTGCTGATTGGAGACTCTGGGGTAGGAAAATCATGCTGTCTATTGCGGTTCAGCGAAGATTCGTTTACTCCATCGTTTATTACTACTATCGGGATCGACTTCAAAATCCGTACGATTGAACTGGACGGCAAGCGCGTGAAGCTCCAAATATGGGATACCGCCGGGCAGGAGCGATTTAGGACGATTACAACAGCCTACTACAGAGGAGCGATGGGTATCCTTCTCGTTTACGATGTCACTGATGAACGGTCTTTCCAGAGTAAGAACCCCCTGATTGTTGAAAGACAATCCCACGCTGATCCAGTTGGTTAGACATTCGTACTTGGTTTTCAAATGTCGAGCAACACGCAAGCGAAGGAGTCCATAAAATCCTCATTGGTAATAAATGTGATTGGGAAGAGAAGAGGGCCGTGTCAACCGAGCAGGGGCAGCAACTGGCTGATGAGCTTGGAATACCATTCCTCGAAGTTTCTGCTAAAAACAACATCAACATCGAGAAAGCTTTCTATGATCTTGCATCTGATATCAAGAGAGGAATGGATACGTCAAAGTCCGAACAGGTCGGTTCTCAGGGCGTGAGCATAGACCAGCAAGGTTCTGGGTTGAACGGCAACGGGGGTGGGAAGTGCTGTTGATTTGATATTACACTTACCATCATACCGCCAGACTACTTCTTTTCCGTACGACTCTATGCCTTCGCGCATTACAGGTTTGTGTGCCACAGCTTCAATACATCAATATCTTCGGGGTTCGAATAGATGCTGGGAAGCTGATTGGTTGATGGTGCCTCTATTCTATGTATGTTGATAATGAAGGTAGGGGCTCATGGTTATTGTGAATGTCTTTTATTTTCTTTCTGGTTTCTCCTGTGCTTTCATCCATTCTGCTATCAGAGTTTCCTAGGCGGCGTTCTTCTGTTGTATCCAATTATTAGTGTCGGTCCTACTAGGTATAAAGTATCTAATAAGTACCTGCATGTACAGCATATACATCAGGAGCACCCTGATAAGATATAAATTGGATTGCATGTTTGTATCTGGATAATATTGGCAAGTAAGAGGACAAGTATCGAGTCACTAAATTGTCAAAGATGAATAGATAGATAAACATCATGGCTATCGGCGACTCTGTAATGAAGGGGTAAGCGTAAAATAGTAAATATTAGAATAGACCACGCAACTAGCTACAACCTACAATGCGAGTGACGTGAATGATGATATACCCATATTGGGCCGATATTCCAGAGCTCTCTCCGTTTCTTGCACTTTGTTTCTTAACTCGTGGTTTTAATGATCTCGGAACTCCGGCTACAATGGTCTTGTTGCTGTGTGTTCACATTGCAGATGACGACCGCTTTAGATATGCTGCGATAGAAGTTGCATCTGACCACATGTGTTGTAACTACCTACACCCAGATGCGTATATACCGATTGTGCTCCTCTTAAGTGGGGCTGTGTGGATATCCGAAATGGATTGGAAAGCCAATGTTCCATATGGACTACTACAGATTCTGTCGGATCACTTTCAGCTTTCCTCCCCCCCCCCCCCCCCGCCATCTGTTTCTTTCAAGCCTCCCACATACCTTCCAGGGGGTCATACTTCTATTCTTCCTCCTTTCTTTACTCTATCATACCAATTCACCTATTTTCACATCTAAGTCTAGCAAATCTTCTCTCTACTCTCTTGCACCAACAAAACTGTACGTATATCAACGGCACGACCAAGGCAGATGATAGCTCCCCCCAAAATAATATGATACCACCTTTCCTGCTCGAGTTGTTTCTAAAATGTGCGATTTTGCAGGTTATGATACTGTAAGAGGCGGTCGCGCTCTGCGGTAGTAAAAACGCAGAATACTGGGAATCAAGTTTGAAGCTCTCTTGAGCCGCTCCCGATATGTCCGAGACTCGATATTTTACAGTTCGGCCGCTCTCGAAACAGTCCAGAAATGATCATCGAGATGCCTTTCGCGTTTATCTATCGTTGTCATCGTTGGCTTTCCTTAAACTCCGCGCGGGAGAACCATGCAATATTTATCTCCCTGGTGGTTCATCGAGAACGGCAGTAGCTTGGAATGCGACCGAGAACATCCAGAATACTGTTGTACAGACTTCAAGAACACTTCAAGAACGTTATGGAATAAAAATCGGCGAAAAGATTACAATATCTAAGACCGACGGGCCTCTGGACGAGATCACTAGAGTCTCCATATTGGAGTGTTCAGATAGTGATAGGCTTGCAAAGTACGGCGCAATCCCACCCTCTGACATATGTCACTGGTCTTGGTCTTTGGAGCTCCCTCTCCTAAATTGCGATGGCATTACTGTCGGCCTAGTGTTTGAGCTAGAGCTTAGGAACCAGCGTCGAAGTTTCCGAGTGGCAGACGTTTCATGTCATGAAGGAAGTACCTCCAGCACCCTTTTCAAATTCACTGAATCCAGCAGAATAATAATGGGCGAATATTTGGAAAAGCCGTTAGAGCGCGGGACTTCCAACATTCAGGTTCGGCCTGCTGGCCTGGGTGGGATGGACCAGCAAATTGAGAGCATCAATGAAAGCCTTACTGATTTTAACCTCGGCCCAGTCAATCTAGTAATGCCGTCATTTTATGAACATAGTCGTGGCATACTTCTATATGGCCCCAAGGGAACGGGTAAGACGGCGCTTTTGGGACAGATTGAAGCAGCAGGATGGAATAAAACGTTCCATATTGGTTCCTCCACTTTTGGCCGGAATATTGGGGATGCCGAATCGAAGTTGCGCAATGTATTCCAAGAAGCAAAGCGCTGTCAACCGAGTGCGGTTATCATTGATCAGGTGGAATTCATTGCGCCCAGACGGACATCGCTTGACGCCCAGTCGTTAGCATCGGTTCTATGTGAATGCCTCGACGATGCAAAGAGTGCGCTTATACTGATCGTGGCTGCAACTCGGCATCCAAATGATGTCGATGATGCCCTGAGGACCCCGCATCGACTGGCAAACGAGATCGAGCTGCAAATCCCGACAGCACAAGATCGAGGTCAAATATTACGTGCTATATGTGGATGCCCGTCCCCAACACTGAGTGACAGTCTCATAGACTTGATTGCGGAAAAAACACATGGTTATGTTGGAGCGGACTTGTTTGCCCTTCTCCAACTAATTTGTCGCAAGGCACGGCAAAGACAGACACTGGAGGATGGAATGTCTTCTCCCAAGGACCAAACACCTGCCGACACTACAGTGGAAGTCCTGACTACCCGGGAAACAGCTATAGGACTCAAGGTTGAAGAAGTTGATGTCCTATCAGCCCTACAGGAAACTCGACCTACTGCTATGCGAGAAGTGTTTTTGGAGACGCCTAGAGTTAAATGGTCGGACATCGGTGGACAGCACGAAATCAAGAGACGCTTACAAAAAGCCGTGGAGAGGCCCTTGAAGGTACGCTTTCAGTTCTTTGATGCATCAATACAGTTCTGACAAAGCCATTAGTACCCAGAACGAATGAGAAGGCTTAATTTGAACAGCAAGAAAGGCGTACTCCTATATGGGCCGCCAGGGTGCTCTAAGACGTTGACCGTGAAAGCACTGGCCACGGAAGCAGGGCTGAATTTCTTGGCGGTTAAGGGAGCTGAGATACTCAGCATGTACGTTGGAGAATCAGAACGAGCATTGCGAGAAATTTTCCGGAAAGCACGTTCTGCAAGACCCAGCATCATATTCTTTGATGAGATTGATGCAATCGCGTCAAGACGTGGAAGTTCATCACAGGGAGGCGTTAATGTCCTCACAACCCTTCTCAATGAGATGGATGGCATCGAGGAATTGAAAAGCGTCCTCGTCATTGCCGCTACAAACAAGCCTGAGGTGCTAGATCCGGCTTTGATGCGCCCTGGTCGGCTTGACAATATACTTTACATCGGACCTCCTGACCATGAGGCGCGGAAGGAGATTTTAAACATATGGTTCCGCAAGTCTGTTATTGACCCGGAAGTGGAGGTGGACATATTAGCCTCGAAAACAGAAGGTTATTCCGGGGCTGAGATCGTGAGTATATGCGAGACAGCCGGTGATGCTGCCTTGGATGAAGAAGAGGAGACGGGACAAGCACAGGATATCCGATGGGAGCATTTTGAGCATGCGCTCAAGCAGGTGAAAAGACAGATAACAGCAGCGGTTATCGAAGAGTACGAACGATGGAGTGACTCTGTTGACATGTAGGCGCAACTGCATTTGGAGGTTTTATAGATACCTTAAAGCAATCCATGCCGTCTAGCTCCACTGCAACGCGCCTCGCAGTGGATTCACTGATAAATTGAGGATGAATAGATGGCGGTAGTTCTACCCAGGACAAATCTCTTAACAGTTTAGCTAAGCCGATGCCCTTCAGCACGTAGTGTTTATGAGAAGCAGCGTATGAGAGTTCAAAAACAGCACCGTAATAGGTGGAACCTAAAATTGTCCGAATTGGTACCTACCAGCAAACCTACTCGACTCTGACCCTTTCATACATGGTCCATGCCGAAAGTTGTCATTCTTCTCTACCTTGCTACTTCTGGTCCACCGCACTGGACACCTCCACCCACCTTAGGCTTATCTTACACCTACCTCTTATGATACTACGCTTTTCCACATTCGTCTTTAATGAAATTGGTTCTTGGTCAATTTTCACCTTCCTTTACCACGCGGATCTTGCAGCATGTCCGAAAGCTATTCTCGGGGTCGCTCTCGAGCTCGTTTACCACCTTACTCGGAACTTAACCGGACCACGCCCCTGCAACGTTCTGTATCCCCTCGCTCACAATCAAGACCTAATAGTACCTCTCGAAGTCGGTCTGTCGAGCGTGGAGCTGTCCGTCGCACTGGACACCGCTGGTCTCGGTCTCCATCTCGTAGTCCAAGCCGAAGCGAGACCTCCAGGCGCCACAGAAAACGAGACTATAGTCGGACCCCGAGCCCATCTGCTAATAGATCGAGAAGCTCAAAGGTCTGTTATGGCCTCATTAATCACATTGTCCGGCTGGAGCTAATAAAATTTAAAGATAGTTGTTGAAAAGTTGACCAAAAATGTCACCGAGTCGCACCTTCGGGAAATATTTGGTGGCTTTGGCGACATTCAAAGTCTTGATATCCCTATGAATAAAGCCTGTAGGTGCACTGGGCTCAAGTTTCCCTGCTTCTTCAGTCTGACCCGTCACCAGTCATGACGAACAGGGGTACTGCGTACATACTCTACCACGATCCTGCGGATGCAGAAGCGGCTATCGCGCACATGCATGAAGCACAGCTAGATGGTGCCTTGTTGAATGTATCTATCGTCCTCCCAAAAAGAGCTTTTTCTCGCTCGCCGCCACCGGTCCAGAACGGAAAAGGAAGCTTCAGCCGCCAGGGTCACGGTCGTGGACCTATGTTGGATAGCCGCGCACCCCGTACCTCTCCGCATATGCGCAGATCTACACCTACTAGGAGGTATCGCCGTTCTCAGCATATGGAGAGACATGACATCTATAGGCCGCGGTCCCTATCCCGCTCTAGATCGCCACGTCGCTCTCGATCACTCTCTTCTAAATCTCTTTCAACGTCACCACCAAGGAGGAGGGGATACGATGATTCCCGTCGCCGCCGTCGCCGCCGCAGTCCCAGCTACAGCAGCTATGGTTATAGCAGTCGCAGCGATGGGAGCCGGAGTTTGAGTCCAAGTAGAAATCATCATTGACACGGGCCCTGCTGAATCAGGCCTCTTCATGTCATGAGAATCTTGACAGGATGCTGTAATGAAGGGTGTCCGTTTTTCACAAACATGGTGCTGACACGGTGGGGTAACAAGTCAGTGGTACGCTATGCGAAAGTATTGAGACATTGTCGCAAAAATTATAATGTAATATTATGTAGTGCAGTCAAGGAATTCATCCAAGACTTATTATCCTGCGTCACTCGGGCGTTATGAATCCAATCATTCAACGACAATTGTTCTTTAAACAAATACAAGATGCAAAGGGAGGGAATGTTGGGGAAGGGGTAAGTGCCAGAGGCAGTCCTTAAAAAAAAGCGCACCAGCCAATATACATGGCAGCTAGATTCCTTTTGTCAGTTGCCTGTACAATCAGTTCGTCTACATGGCCGTCCACTGAGAGTGGAACAGATTCACCAGGCAGAAGGCCGCGAAGTTTATTGCGAACATTCTCTAAAACACCAGCTGGTGTTTCTGGGACACTGGCGTGTGTGCGACGCTTCGAACTGTTAGTAAAATCGGTTTTCCATAATCCGCGTGATACCTACCTTTTTCCCAATAAAATCAGTGGTAGGATCGTGCAAAAACGTCTCCAAGACGGTCATGAGTGCATCTTCGTTACGGCGGAGCAGCCCAAGGCTTATGTCGCATGTCTTGCGGAAGGGACCTGCCAATAGCATTAACAAATGCACGCGTATCATGCTTGATTAGCACAAACCATTGTATCCGTATGCGCCAAACGCATCAACCATGTTCTGTGTGAGGCGAAAGGGAACCAATTCAGGCTTATCAAACGTCAATCCCTATGATTGTCAGCTTTGAGCGATAAAGGGCTGCTCATTTCGAATTTGGCGCCTAACTTTGTCAAAAAGACAGTTGAAGTCAACATGTAACACGCCACCTGTCCCTTCCTCAAACAATATGTTTTCACCATGTCGGTCACCCAGCCTGTAGAAAAGTAAATTCTAGGACCATCCTCGATAATGGGTGGAGCCAACATACCCTAGGACGTGCCCAACCATTGACATGACAGCACATGATCGAGTATAGCGAAGTCTCGCTGCAAACCATGCTCCCGCTTCAGGAAACATTTCAATGAACCATTCATGTAGAACTGGAGGAAACCTACATTGATGTAAGTAATGGCACATATCTCAGTAATAAGTGCTCTCAAAAAGCTTACTTTGACAAAACTTCAGTCGTGAAAAGATGGAGCTTGGAATTTTCCGAGCATGCTTCGTTGAGATTCTGTCTGATCTCACTATACTGTAGCAGATCCAGTTCAGCAACTATAGGCCCTATCGCTCTTGTTGGTGAGCAACTTACATTTGGTGCAATCCCTCGTTCTCTGAGGAGTTTGATGACAAGGTCCCTCAACGTACGAAGATTATCGACCCACTCGATGAGCCCACATTCTTCGTTCAAAGGTGTTACGGCATATGTTTTGATATCTTCGCACCACCGACCAAGTTAGCAGACAATGGATGAATCCAAGAAATCGTGATTGGAGTCTAGTTACTCACACATTCGCCGCTTGCTTGATTCCACGTCCCTTTTGAAAAACCTGTTGATCATATTATTGAATTCCATGAGTCGTTGGTCTTTACGAAGGTCGTCCTTGGGTTTGCACAGGATATTGTATATCCTTCCATCCGACCCTCGGATACCTATCCTCCGTGGCTTCTGGAGAGAATTCAAAACCTGTGCATCATTGAGTATAGCTAACAATAGTCAATAAGGGAACTTATGTAGAAGCCACGGTCGAGAGGTGTTACCTTCCATTGTCGTAGGGTCCCTAGGGAAGGCCCTGAAACCCTTCAAGTATTCAGGTTCATGGCTCGCTGGTAGTATTGGTGTCAACATTGCCTGGAATGGCACCACAAGCCGACAAGGTGCCACTTTGTGATTGAATCCTAAATTGCGTAAATTAACCCGAGCGACCTTATCTTCAATGCGAGCTATGCACAGCCTCAACATTTCCTGTGAAAAATTTTGCCCTTGGTTTATCATGGAATGCATATCTGATGGAGTCTCATTCTTCAGTTTCTTGTTTACCTCCTGTTCATGTTAGAGATGTAGACGTCAAACAGTGCCTTGTTGTTTCTGTTGACCTACTGTAATCTTCTGGAGGCAGTTAATGCCCCTGGAGGCTCGGTCTTTGGAAGAGGACTTTACTACAGCAAGTACTGTCCATAGCCCTTGCTGGGGGAAAGAGTTGACTGCCTTGGCTACCACCTTAGTCAATAAATCATATACTGTCGTGTTTGGGTGACATATTCGAGCAAGAACTTGAGGGAGAATCGTGAAGAGCTGGTTCAGTTAACGAGCCATTCATATGGCAACTGGATGCAAAACCCACCAGTGCAGCCGGTATTCTGTTCACGTATTTTTTCAGTTGTGCATGCATATCATCAAGGCTCTTCTTCCGCTGACTTAGAGTATGTTTTTGAAATTCCCTTGCAGGATGTACTTTTAGTCTCGGCCCTTAAGATAAAAGGCTTTGGAAGCATATAAAGCGGTATTTGGCCACTCACTCGTTGTCTCCTCTCTTCGGATTAAACGGCTGGTCAACAGTAGAAGCATGTTCCAACCAGAGTGTCAATATCTTGGGCAGGGACTGAAATACATATTTATTCCCATGGGCCAATGACCGGAGATAGTTGTCAACGACAAGTTTAGATGCCTCACCACTCAGACTGTGAAATATATGAGCTTCTACAACTCAATCGAACGTTCTGGGAAGACTGACTAAATCTGCGCCTCTTTCCCCAGCGGCTTTGCTTTCTCAGAGTCCAGGATTTTGTTGTAGTGCTTGCCCAAATAATAGTGGGCTTTCTCCCACCTACTAACAAATCAGCCTCTGCAATTTCAAACCACAGTAGCAGTATTTCTCCAAATTAAAGAAGTCTACCTTGAGTGAAGTTTGATGGCTTCTCTGTATCTCTGAACGATGGCATCTGACTGAGTTTGCCCAGCTCTATCTGTCCACTTGGCTAGGAGTAAATGTGCCTAAGTAGTGTGAGTATCCAGATCATGTCACTTGCTTCGCAAATTATACATACTCGAGCCAAGAGAAGATTCTGATGTCTCCCCTTATTTGCAGCCAGAGAAGATGGGGCAGGTCCTTCCGACGAGGGTGGTTCTGAAGAAAACTCATTAGCAGCGATTGCGCCTTCCAATGTTTGTATTGCTTTTCGGTGATGGCCATCTTTCCAAAGAAGTCGTGCATGTTCAATAGTGGCTGATCTGTCGTTCAAGCGGGCTGCATGGAGCATCGATTGATAAGCCTGGCTGGTAAAATTTCCTTTCCTCGAGAGACGTGCACTGGTTAGCCAAGCAGCAGCTATGTCGGAATCGGCGAATTTGCCCCTTTCGGCTTGGTCAGCACTGGTTTGTGATTTTCACGAAAAGGGGAAAGAAGCGTACGTTAGCTCCATTGTGGCCCTTCTAAGACCAAGGAGATATTGCTTGTCAGAGATGTAGCCCCCAAGAATGTCCAAACGGCGGTGCAAGATATCGGATAGTTTTGAGCGTGGGCTGCCGCCCTCGCCATACTTAGTACGAGCTATGGACTCGATCTCATGTAAAGCGTGTAGCTTGAGGATGCTATCGTGGCATGATTGCAACGACGCCACAGAACTGGCTGTCAGGGACTTGGCAACACTCAGTCGCAAGGATTTCATATGTTCTTTGAATTGCGTATCGTTGTCGTGTTGAAAGGCATTGAGAGCCGAACCGATCTCGATATTAAATTCCCCTGTACCGTGCTTTGAAGGTAACTGAAGATACTCGTGCAGCTTTGCCCAGTTACTTGTGATCCAAGTCGCTTCCACCGCGAAAGGGAGAAACCTTCTGCCTAAATTCTTCATTTTCGAGATTTCAAAACGCGTGAGAATCGCATCTGAAAGTGTTAGCAGTGGTATGATAAAGGGACTGGAACCGGGGAAGCGGGTACCTTGCTGTCCTGATTCCTTGAGGCAAGTAAGCAGATTCCACTGTGCTTCGCTATTATTAGGTTCTTTTTCAAGTTGCAATTCATACCAACTCTGCGCAGTTGCCCATCTTCCGGCTTTTCGATGTTCGAGAACCTGCTGGTCAATGTCTAGCACATGCAGATGGCTCGAGATACCCTCGATCCCGTCCGGTTCATCGATTCGACTATAGATATCTTGTAACCGTTGGTAGAGAGTTTCAACTGTGGCGCCTTCTTGCTTGCTTGCTTGATTTTTACACTGTCGGATGTACTGCTCCCAATGAAACAGAGCGCGTGAGAATGATTTGCACTCAACCGCCCTTTTAGAGATGATCTCTGGGGGAATTGAACTCATGAGTGTCTCTACAGCCTTCACTTGCGAGGAATATGTGTCCAATAGAGCATCTCGGGACGTTTCCCTGTGGCCGCGATTTGAATGGTGGCCTTGGTTTCTGAGGCTATTTACTTGTTTCTTCTTCCCTTGTAACCACCTTGAAAGGTAGTCAAGGACTTCGAAAACACTCTGTTTTAAACAGTAAGAGACAGACCTTGGTTATTGAAAGTGTGTCCTTAAACGACTTACCTGGCTGCACATTATGATGTTCTCATGTATGTGGTTGTTAGCATCAGGGAGTGGATGAGACAGAACATTCACTAGTTCACAGTGTAGGTCTTCTTTCTCTTTTGCACTCCCAGAGACTGTGCGATTAAGCACCGCAAATGGCAACAGGAAAGATGCTATTGAGATATCTTGCCCTTTAACAATGCGACTGCAAACACTAAATATTAATTTTGCATTATCACCATTTCCGCTTTGCAGTAAGTCCTGCACAAAAGTCCGTAGCCAATTGCCATGTGTCAGCACAGTTGAGAACAACGGATAGCTACAGTAAGTATTGAGAGTGCCAATGGTGACTGTATACTTTGATGTAAGAAACGGGGCCAAGATGTTGCGAACGGTTTCAGGTAATTCTAGCCAGCGCTGATATTTTTCCTCTGCGCGAATGTCGCGAGACCGATTGGCGACAGCTGAATCAAGATTACAGAACCTAAGTAGATTCTGCATTGCGTACGCGAGAAACCCTTGGGCTCTAGTATTGGAAGCAGACAGGAATGTTTCGACTAGTACGTATTGAAGGAAGAATAGTATAAAGTCGAAGGTCTCCTCCATACTATCAAAGTTAGACAAAACCAGGATGTCTTTCTTTTCCTTGACTGTATCCACTCGGTTGGGATCAAGACATCCGATCAAACCTAGACATTCGGCGGATAAGACTGTTATAACATCCGAGCTTGTGTTGAACTTCACACAACAGTCAAGTAAGGATCGTGTTAACTGTGCAACGACTGGATCTGGAATCTCGCTGAGGACAGATCTATGGATGAACTCTTCGTTCTGGGAGAGGTAGGGAACTAGTTCTCGCAAGGCTTGCTCAACAACTGTTGCAGTCTCACTCTGACAACGACGAACGAATGCGAGAAAATGGCTTCGGACATCCATTTTCTCTTTCAAATTGTTCAGTTTGGCTTCGTATTTCGAAAATATTGGTATGGACGCCAATGAAGGCATGGTGTTGAAAATGTCATGTACCAGTTCATGGTGGCGCTGCATAATGTATTCAACAAGCTCACAGGCTTGTTTTCTGGTATCTTCAGTAAAGTTATCCCAGTGTCTGATCACGATTGACAGTGTCTGATCAATGAGGGGCTCAATTTCATCTTCTTGTAAGGAGCTGATCAAAACCCCCCAGACAATGAATGCATTGTTACATAACTCTCCGATTTCGAGAGCGGCCCGTAAACAAGCACATATCTATCCCACATTAGCTATTCAGATATGGGTCATATATGGGCATCATGCACAGACCTGTGGTAAGGCGCTACTGATGTGACCGCGTGCGACCTTCACCATCTCTCCAATGGCCGCGATGTTCCTTTTTTTCTCAACAAGAGGCTGCCTGACTTGAAAATCATTAATAGCATGAGCGAACTGTGTGATTATGCCAAGAACATGTTCTTCGATAAAATGACCTATCAGATTCGCTCGTCTTGGTGTGTAGCCAGACTTTCGTGGAACAAGGACGGCTAGTAGATGGAGTGCCCGGCGAAACTGAGATCCCTTCGGGTCAGCATTGCTCACACCATCGAGTTTTATCTGACTTACCCTGGTACCTTTCTCCTCCCCCAGGTCTCCTAAGCCTTTGAGCAGGTCACAGGCGATCAGAATTGGTTCAATCCTCAAAAGCTCGGCCAGAGTACGCCCACTAAAGGCAGAATCTACCTCCGACAAAGCCGACATGATTGATTCTTCTGGATTGGACGAAGGCTGACTCAACAAAAAAGCCAGTATTGATGCGAGATTATTCTTCTCCGAGCAAAGATCGAAGGGCGTCTTGCTCTCTTTGTATGTTGCACCAACTCTGATGATGACATCTCGCTTCCGTGTGAGTACCAGATACGGGAGGACATATATCTCAGTCAATCTAAGAAAGTCATCCACTTTCATACCTAGGAGATCGCAGATCTGTTCCGCCATGTAGGGGCGAGACTGGAAATTTTTGACAATTGTTACCGACAAAGTCCTCCAAAAGGGCCGGAACAAGCCGGCTGGAGTGACAGAAAGATGTTGTGCAAGCCTTGACAGCTAGATCCTGTTAGACTATAACATTAAGGAATCACGAATCCAGCGTATGGCGGAAATATGGGGATCCACACATACTTCGGTATAAGCCACTGCGCAGATAAACGGATTTGGATGTCCCAGGTACTCTACCAAGCGAAGGAGTATGATATTCATTTCTTCATCGTTAGAAAACCTGGTAAAAATATCAAGAATGTCAGCCAATACAGATGATTCAATGATAAGGTTAAACCCACTTCGCAAGATGACACAGAGTAAGAAGACAAGTCTCATGTAATGCTATTTCTTGCTTTTCAGAGAGGCTCTGTAACCAGTCCAAAATGACGACAAAGTTACTCCTTCTGGTTTCACGGTCCAGGTCTTTACGGACAAAAGAGGTTATTGAATGTCTGAATCGGTGTTAGCACTGAAGAAGCTTCACCAGTTCCCTGTCAAATCATACCCAATGATGAGACGCAGCTCTCTAACAGAACTCCTGAGGGAATTTAGGCAAAATTCCCTGAAAACAGAAGATGTAAGCTGCATGTAACTTAGGCCGGAAGTATGCATTAGTGTTCTTTTCAATGCAACAGCTGCAGCTATTCTCAGATTTGCAGGGCGTGTTGGGCTTGAAATTGTGTAATCCAAGATCTCACATAACTCATAACTGTTCAAACAACGCCATTCGTCCTTCGAGTTGAGGTCATACTCTTCAGAGTCACAAACCCTACAACTGAGAGCGCCCTCCAAGTCTAGGCCGGTGATATCTACCAGATTCCCAGTCAATGCGCAAGGAATACCGCACAGGGTCCGTAAAAAACTGCACTTTTCTTGCTCGGCCAGTCCAGCATATGATGTGCTTCCCATTCTCATGTCAGCTTTCGGGATATCGTGGCCAGTGTAGCTTAACTTACGAAACTGCAGAGCTTAGGTCTCTCAAGTCTCCAGTCTGTTCACAACAAAGTAGTTGAAGTGATTTGCCTATAAGCTCCTGTGCTATACCCTTGCTTTCTGTTTCAGCAACATTCCGAGGAAGAGAGCGACGTTTAGCCATGTGGACAGTGCTAACACTATTGGCTGACTGCTTTAAGACGGGAGTTTTGTGAACAGGTGATTCCCGTATCTTTCCCCTGCGAATACCAGCCAATACCCTTGTGGCATTATTGTGAGCCTCATTCCCGGAACAGCACGCGAGGGACCTCTCAATAGCAGTCTAGTCTCTAGTTAGCCACAAAGTAACTATACTGACAATTGCATAGGATGGTTACCTGAAGACAAGGCTCCAATGACTCAAATGAGGCATGTTTCTCTTTAACAAGCAGTATACTATCCCTCAAAGATCGCATAAGATCCACTCTTGAACCAAAAGCATCAGTGAAACTGTCAACAGCACGGCTTAGCTTGAGTTGAAGATGAGAAGACTGGCTCAAGTTATCTAAGGATAGAATTTCGGCCAAAGTTTGGAGAAACATGTATGCCAGCCTCTGCTTCGATGACGTGTATGAACAATGGCTGCAAAATCTCTGAGTGAGTTCCAGGAGCTGTGAGCAAATTCGATTTTTGCTTGCGATGATAGCTGCATCCACACTTCGGAGCCAATTCCGGATGAGCTTCCACAGACGTAGGTATGCATTAGAGAACGACGCCAGGTTCTGCCGATCCAAGGGCACGTTGTAAACGACATGAGAATTGATCGTAGAGCCGAGTAGGTTGAGACATAGACGAACTGCTTGGGCGTAACTCCCAAGCCTTATCACTTTGTTGAAAGATCCACAACGCAGGCCGAGTCTGTCCAGATCCAAAGTATAGTACCGCTTCGGATTGACTACAGAGGAGCTGACCACATAAGGAAGATGACCTGGAGACTGAGAGGCCTCAAGATCATGTATCAATTCTAAAAACTATCAGTTTCGGATTGAACTCTAATCTCGGTATCTCACAGACCGGTCGTGCATGCCTGCAAAAAGGTAGCAATCCCAAGGAACGATGACCATAGCCTGATATGTTTACGTGAAGCGCTGGCTATACTTGAGAGGATGTCATCAATCTTATCTTCAATGGAGTCACTGTCCCAAGTAGTGAGCAAGTGAACAAGCCAGAGGATTAGCCAGGAATGCAAGGGAATAGATATATCTTTCCCAAGAATTTCTGGGTCCGGCACTTCCAATAGTGCTAACGGCGCTTTGATAACGGCTGTTTGGACAATGTCCAAGCAGTCCAAGAGTTGGCCTTGCAATTCGGACTTGTCATCCTTGATACAAGGCTCTAGACCTGCTTTCAGCACGATACATATTAGTCTGGTAACTTCAGTGATGTTGTTGTCCAGTGGCAAGTGACTGCATTTCCCCTCAAGTAGTTCATAGCGGAGTTGTGAGAATGCCTCCTTAGTTAGACCAAGCGTCCCATCACCTTGTGACGAGAAGTGTGGTACAAGGTGTGCTGTGAATGTAGAGGAGACTGGCTCTGCAGGATTCCAAACTGGAAGTCCTGAAGTAGGTAGTCGGGATACCTTGCGGTTATTGGCTGCCATCGGTGATGATTTTACACATGGTCCTGGTACTTTGCAGTCTTGAGGTAACACACAAAGATAATGATCAAGTGTGTTGACGTCTCCGCCTTCACACAAAGATATGTGTGTTTCGGTAATGCTAGTACGCTGTAAGTACAGGTATGTCCTCTCGGAAATGCAACTTATGGATCACATGATACTGGTGATACAATTTGTAACAGAGAAAACTATTACATAGCTACCTATGGTACACTTGACACGTAAACGTGCCTCGGAAGACTCATGTTGATTATGCTACTAGGTGGGCTTCCGGGCGGTGGGTAATTATATGGTTCTGAAGGGACAGACGCCTGGTACAATTACAAGGTTTTCTTTCCGCTTAGAGGGAAAAATTTCCGGGAAAGCATATGCCGAGTCTAGGTATCTACTTACGGCGCTTACGGAGTAGGTGATTTTCCTTATCCTAACTTTACTCATTATCAAGTGGTTAAAATCCACTCTTGGTGTGGCTGGTGCCAATTACTACTGCTAGTTACTACTGCATAAATAACCCGACGGCAACAACCTCACAAGCCCTTCCTCGCGTCACAAGCAGAGATGTCTGATATGTTACCTGAGTTGCATGGAGGTTGCTCCCAACAGGCTTACTTCATGAAGCAGGCACTAATGATGGTAATTATATACCGCCCGAGTGACTCTACAGATAGGTATTCTTATAATCGTCCTAGGGAGAGAAGGCCCTCAAGACTGGCGAAACCCCAGTGGGCTGTATTCTTGTTTATGACAATAAGATTGTTGGTTCTGGAATGAACGATACCAATAAATCGATGAATGTAGGTGATCCAGGAGGCCCAAAGAGTCAAAATCCTCCCACAATATAAGTTGAGATGCATGCACATCTTTCTCTACCTCTAGTGAGCGTTCACTACATAGCAGTTTTATTAGTGTTTGTGTGAAACCATAGCCTGATTTTACCAGGGAACAAGGCATGCAGAGTTTTCTGCTATTGAGGAGATGCTGCAGACTTATCCTAGGTCAGCACTACGTTCAACAGACCTCTATGTCACTGTTGAACCTTGTGTCATGTGTGCGTCTGCTTTAAGGCAGTATCAAATACAGAAAGTATATTTTGGTTGTGGAAATGAGAGGTTTGGAGGAACAGGTAGCATCCTATCACTACATGCTGAGTTCGTTTGGTTTCCAAGTGGAACTACGCCTAAAGCTAATTCGCATTAGTCCCTCAATAGATCCACCGTACCCTGTACAAGGTGGATTATTCCATAAAGAAGCTATAATGCTACTTCGTCGCTTTTATATACAGGAAAATGAGAAGGGTATGTGGCAGACTTCCATGCCTGTAATGAAAAAGCCTCTTGACAAAGTCCTTCAACAGCACCTAAGCCTCGCCCTAAAAAGCACCGTGAATTGAAGACGGATTTCGAAAATGAAGTGTCACTCACCTCCTCTATACCTTAGGCAGCAACAGGCTGTTCATAATGGAGTAGCTGTGCATTAAAAAGAACAAAAAAAATGTCATTTTCAATCGGTCTAGAGCGAGAATGGGGATGGAATGAGAAGGTGAAGTGGAAGAAATGTTCCATCTAAATTTCGAGTTGATTCGGGAACTAAATATACAAGACTTCGCAAGAGACAATGAAACGTTAATGGGCTGGTGCTTTTACCGCCCTTCGTGCCACAAAGTTCAAGAAGATCCAGCTTGTTTCAACCGCTCGGCTTCCAGCTCCCGCTCAGCCTGCTGATAATATTTGGCCGTGTCGACACCATGCTTGTACTCCAGTCAGTGATATATATCCTGTATGCTACACCCGTGACTATGTGAGAAAATCGCTTCTTCTTTGAACTTACCTGGTCGTGGTTGACAAGGTTGAACCATGGGAGAACATGGATAAATAGCTCAGAGTACCTGGAGTTCCGAGCAGCAACGCCTTGCAGGTATGCGGAGACCTTGGATGTGCCATATATAGGCTCCCCTTTTTTGACTTTTTCTACCATCTCTTTCATATCCATATCGACTTCTCTCGAGTTCTCTGTGAACCCATAGAAGCGATCTATACCAGAGTGTTAATGAAACAGCATCAAGGGCGAAACAAGATTTCCAGAATTGCACTCACTGCAGGATCTCTGATAAACCACGTGTAGACCACCAATAAGACCAATAGCTGTTGCCAATCGCATCACAGGGGCAAAGCCTCCCCTGCCAACATGGGACGGGCTCACTCTTTCCATAACCCAGAATGCAAGAGGAGACGCAGCAGCCATTCCACCGCCCACTGCATAATCAGAAGGTCGTGCATACCCGAAAACCCGTCTCAAATGCCTGGTAGAAGTGAGCAATTTTGCAGTATAGCAACATCAAGCCGGTCCATACGGGTCGGAGTCAATCAGCTACAAAGCCATAGTCAGCCCCAAGATCCGTAATATCATTTCGTATTGAGAATCATCGATCCTACCGGATAGTCAGTATTGGCCCGCTTTGGGGGAACGACGATCGTCTTGTTATCAGTCGCCATTGTTGCAAGGCTGGGATAGCGGAGGGTGAATAATAATCGACCTTTTTGGATTGGCTTCCGCTTCAATGGAGATGAAAGTCGGAGGGGAGTTGCGCCAAGTATAATGCTTTTCCGCTTCAAGACTAGCTCGCCATATGCTCACAATTACTAAGCCATTAATACACCTGACTGCTTAACATGTAACAAAAGGGACCCGCTGCCACGCTAACATGACCGCCTACGAAATATGGAGCAAGGAGTACATATCAGGTAGTAGGTAGTTGGCCATTATTACAGACCTTACCTACTTAGGCAATTTAGGCATCCTATTAGTACAGGCACGCGTCCCAAACCACGCGTAGCTTATCAGTCAACATTGCTTCATAGATAGTAGTCTGCAGGTTTTCTTTAAGGTGGGCAGGCACTTTCACGACTTTATAGGAATCATTTTGTCATATTACAAGGCTTTCGAACCTTGTCCATTGTTCAACTTTATAATTCATCGCCCAGAGAATGGAGGATGATGTGGGCCACTTGTATCCTCTAATGGATCAAGATGATACACTGTTTGATTATGATGCCGGCTTGGAGAGCACATTACAAGAACTAGCAGTGGACTCAAAAACAAGAGAGGCTGTTTCAGCTCCCATCTTAGGGTTGGATGAAAAGGTCACAATCACCAAGCAGCGACGATATACTGTCAAATTAGATGAGGGCCGGTGAGGCTGGCAACTGTGATAGCACCCTGAGTCCGGGCTTATCGTTCCCTAGGTTATTGTCACAATCCGGAATACCAAAACTTCGCCTTACAGCAAAGCAGAAATTGAGGTTCAAAGGCAAAGGGCACGAGGTCTGCTAGAATCAATTCGTACTTTCCCTCAGAGATCGCCATGTGGCTAACTTTCCCCTCCAAAGTTTTCGGATGCCGCCCGGCTATTGAACTTTTATCAATTATGGCTCGATGATTTGTTCCCTCGTGCGAAGTTCGCCGATGGTTTAGCTATGATTGAAAAACTCGGACATTCAAAGCGCTTGCATACAATGCGAAGAGAGTGGATAGAAGAGGAGAAGCCAAAGCTATCCGCGGCTGGATCTGAAGATGTGCTAGAGAAGGCATTGTCGAGCCAGTGGACCCACGATGATGAATTGCCTATTGAGCGTCGTCATGATGCAGACACGGTCCCATCCTGGCGAGGTAGCGTGACACAGGCACCCCCAGCACATAGCCTGGGATGGCCACCCGCACATCCATTAAGGGGCGCTCCAGCCCAGAAATTGTTTGCATCGAATGAAGAAAGTGTCCCGATGGAAGTGATTGAAGAAGGCGCTCCTGATGATGATGATGATGATGATGATGATGATGATGATGATGAACTGGATGCCCTTCTTCGAGAGCATGAGGGCGGAATTATTGGCAACAAAGGTCTGGCAGGATCAGATATATCTGCCGGTTTCAATATGTCTTTGGGTGACTAAGGTTCTTTAAAAAACTTGGATGCTTCGGGTGGTGCAGCTACTTAAGCGATGCTCGGCGAAACTCGATTTTGATACACTGCACAGAATGGTTCTATATTATACTTAAAAATAGTCATGATTTACAAACTGTCATCATATCCTTTAGCTTCTTATGTCCCGTCGCTCTCACCTGAGAGTATCCGATTACATTTGAAATATAAGAAATTCCAAATTCAATACATACAAACATCATGTTCACAGGCCATGACAGCAAAGAATATGTTGGCGTCAATATGATCCAACGATGATCCAGGTCACGAAACAAGCCGTGGCAATGGCACCACGTGATTCCTGTCCTATTTTATAGCTTGTGCTAGTGCCGCAGGCTCCGTAAACACGGAAAATTGGCCACCAGCGCCTGCCCAGTTCAGCTTCTTTCCTCGAACGGCAGTATTCTCGATGATAGTAGCTACTTCAACGTCATCCTGTATACCCTGGCCCGTTTGATAGGTGGCGGAAAAGCCCCAAGACCAGGGCCGACCGTCCACATCAATAGCAATTGAATGGTCAGAGCCAGCCGCAACAGCATTGACCTTGATTCCAGGGACGGGTTTGGGCTCTATCAGGATACGAGCGCGCCCACGCTCGTCCTTAATTACTGCCTCGTCGGGCAGACTGTCAATTTTCAGACCTGTCTGGTGACCGTCCAATCGACCCCAGACAAGGCACTCGCCATCGTTTGCAATAGCAAGCGAATGATGAGCCCCTCCGCAGATTTGTGTGATAATCTTTCCTGACAACGAATCTACAACAGTAGGGTGAACAATAGCAGCTTCGTCGTCACCGGCACCGGCCCTGATACCCGTTTCGCCGAAACTGTTCAACCCCCACGCGTAAACCTTTCCTGACTGATGGATAGCAAAAGAATGGAAGGCACCACAACCGATATGCACGATGTCCTTAGGCAGACCAAACTCGCGCGGCTGGAGGCCGTTCAGTCTATTTCGCTCAATGATACGACGACCCAATTGATTTTGCTGGCCCGAGCCCCATGAAAACACAGCCCCTTTATTGTCAAGTGCCAAAGCATGGTTATCGCCACACGCCATATGCTTGATCTTTTTCAATGATGATATCAGACTAGGCGTAAGCTGAACTTTATGGTTGGCATCAAAACCTAGGATGCCATCATTGCTCTAACTCACGTTTCAGTTTGACAATGTTCATCATACACCGACATCCATGATTTGACTCACTCTAAATGTGCCCCAACCATAGACTTGGCCGTCATCCGTAAGGGCAAAGCTCGAGCTATCGCCGGCAGCAACTTCAACGAAGATAGTGCCTTCTGGGAAAGCTTCGGAAGGAATAGCAGTGGGGATCGATTCGTAGGGATTCAAAGCAAGGTCATAATCGGAGTCCGAGTCAGACTCATTGCTGTCTTCGTTAATTTCTTTGTAACCTCCGTCCCAAGTAGTGTCCCTGCCAAGCGCGCCTTGATCATTGACGCCCCATGTAAGGATCTTGTTATCAGACGTAAGCGCAACGCAATGCATGCCTCCAGCAGCGACCTGCACAACGCCGACACCGTCCGCTGGCAAGTTGGCATTTAAACGCGGCCGCTTCACATCAATTGCGTTGGTGGTAGATCCTAGGCCTAGTTCACCTGAGCTACCCTCGCCGCAAACATAGACATTCAGTCGAGTGGTTGGTGCATGGTTAATAACCACCTTCGGCTTCGGTTTTGTGACACGGGGCTTGGCGACACGAGCCTTATTGAGTTCGCGGGCTGGCGCTTCGTCGACAATTTCCGCCTTCCGCTTCCTGGGTTTCTCGGGTGCAGCTCCTGCCGTATTGCTTGCAATGGCGTCGCCGGTTTTGCCTTTCTTGGAAGCTGTCGCAGGCTTCTCTACTTTCTGTTTCCTGAGGGTCTTCTTGGGCTTCGCTGGGATTTTCTGCTTGTCTGTTGGGTTCTTGACAGTCGTGGTCTTTGCCGTTGCTTTCGCCGTAGTAGCAGCCGCTGTCTTTTTGCCTTTCACTGTAGTGGTAGCTGATTCTGCAGCCGTCTTGGGTGCGCTTCTTTTGGGGGGCATCTTTGCCGTTTGAATGACAGTGATTTTCTTTGTCTGGGCTATTTCTTCCTAGAGCTTGCAACGGGCGACCGCGGCGGGATTGCCAGGGTAAAAAAGGACAGGAGCAATTGGGCGATAATTGTCAAAGACGAAAACGACGGAAAGTAGATAAAGAGAGGATAGGGGGGTGGAAAGGAAAAGAATGGGTAGGGGAATGCGCCCACGCGACGAAATCTAGTGTTGTTGTGGTTGTTTTGGGATTGGGGAACAGACGCTAAGACCAAGCCAGCCGTTGAAGAGAGAACATTCCGTCCAAGTGACATGCTTGATATGAAGCTTGTTCTCCCCTGCTTATGAATGTGGACAATGAGACGCCAATGGTCTTTATTTATATACTCTGTATGAAAGAAGGCAATATAGATAATGCAGGATTATATAAGATTATAAGTTTAAGTCTAGATCTTACTAATTTAAAACTATAGCAGACTGTATAAAATCAAAAAGTCTATATCTTTTAAATAGCTAGTCTGAGAGAATAATATTAGAATATAGAATCTTTTATTTTATATATTCTCCAGATGGTCAGCAGATTTTTGTTTTAACTTATTAATATAAACTTAACAGATTATAAGTCTAAAAATTAGTTTTATCCTATTTAATATGCCTATATATAATATAGTTATCTAAATCAAGATTATATAAGATTATAAGTTTAACGTAATCCACAAGCGAGTGGGCCGCACAAGCGAGTGGGCCGGCGCGCCCGGCAAAACATGCTGTTACAGACCCCTGCTAGTTACACTACTAGCGAGGCGGACTCGTCAGGCAGAAAGCACCGAGAAGGTAACGGTCGGACAGACAGCAACTCTTATTGAGTAAAATCCTGATTTAAGTAATACCCGGAATGACCATGTGTTACGTGATTATCTACCATTAATCCTATTATTAAAGATATACTCAGGATATACTAGAATCTCGGATTATGATTGGATTAATTATTAATCTATCTTGAATAATATATAATATGGTATACAAAGGATAGGATATATAAAGATACTCTTTCATATATTTAGCTAGTTCTGTTCTTCATACTCAATCCAATTCTTAATACTGTCTTTAAGTAACCATATACTTGGAAGCTTAGTAATAACACTCATCCATACTTACTTATGGATAGCTGCGCGGCACTATTCAGCCTTACTTCTCTTTTCTTATCTAAGACTAGTTGTTTCTAGATAGTTATCAGCCTGATATCTCCTTGATTCAGTTTGATAGTACGTACACCAGTGAAGCTAAGCTAACCAGGATAGAAAAGCAATCCTAGGGTTTGACACATTGAGCACCAGTCAGTATGAGTGTTACCAGTTATAACCATCCATTATATTAACTATTTTGAACTCGTCACGCACTCCGCAGCAGCAGGATCTAATAATGCAGGAACTGATGGGCATGGTTAGTCAGTTATAAGAAAGCATTACTGCCTTAAAGCAACAGAACCAGCTACTCAAAGATTACTTAGCAGTTAAGTCTGTCAAAGTCTGACTATTAGAACTATTTAACAGCAACCGAGCGAGGCTCAGGGCTTTCTTGACTCAGTTAGACTTGTATCTTAACATGAACAGAGAGAAGCTTAAAAATAAAGTTAATAAGATCTTCTTTATATCTACTTATCTGATTAAAATAGTGTTTAATTAATTTGAGTTATACATCTGCAAGTACTAGAAAAAGTCAGTAAATAATTAGAATAATAATATTAAGAAAATCTTTACTAGTTATGCTAGATTTAAGAAATATCTTAAATAAATATTTAGAGATATTGATGCAGTATATAATACTAAATAAAAGCTATAGTAATTAAAGTAGATTTAATTAATATCTAAATATACTTTTAAATTCTTACAAGTTATTAGTTTCTTAGACTAGGACGAAGATACCTATATTACATAATTTAAGAAAAGACTTAAAATAAAGATCTAAGAAAAACTTATCTACTAAAAATAACTAAATATACTGTTACAGATAATCATAACAGTAGTCAAGATTAATAATAAATTATATAAATATAATATAAAATAAAAAGAAGGCTGATAGACCAGTAAGTCTATATCTTGATAAAGCAACTAGTAAAGCTACTGAGCTAATAATAAAAGATTAGTACAGTCTAGAAGTCTGGGGTATGAAGATCTTTATAGACTAAAGCTAATAGAGCTAGATATAGCACAGCATTAGACTCAATAAAATAAAGTATTCAGAGAGAAACTTAAAAGATATAATAAGGACTGCTTGTACTTCAGCTGCCTTAAAGTAAGTCATCAGTTGAAGAACTGTAAACAGAAACAGTAACAGTCTTAAAAATAGTTAAGAGTTATGCACGAGAATCAAGACAGAGGAGTCTATGATATTACCACTATTTAGCCCGAAGTTTGGATAGAACCCGCGACGCGGATATTAGATAGTAAGAAGCTATATATTATATAATATAAATATTTACTAGTATTAGAAAGCAGAATATACTAAGATTAGTTAAGGCAATAGATTACTATAGATAAGCTAACAGTACTATCAGAACAATAAAAAGATTACTGACTATCTATACTATTTAATTAATCCATAGAAGTTAATAATAGTAATAAGCTAATTTTAAGAAATAAATATTCTAATATAGTTTAAGATGAGTTTAACTCTTTAAATAAAGAATACAGTACTTAGCTGAAAGGTCTTAAACCTAGTAAGAAGAGACTCAGTAAGATATTTAATATTCTAGAAAAAACCTTATCAAAAACTATTAAAATATGTTTAATATAGTAAGACAAAAATAAAGCGAATTAAAAAAAATAATAAGAACAATATCTCTTACTGATTAGACTATATTATAAAGAAAATCTTAGAAAATCCAGTATGATTCTGCCTAGAATTTAAAGAAGTTATACAGTATTGCCCACATTGGGACCTGAGATATTAAGAATTATAGAACAAGATTTGGAAACAGTATTTATAAAGATATCCCTATTATCCAGAAGTTTATTTAATATATAGATAAGATAATATAGATTACTATTATTAATTATCCAAGATCAGCTAAAAAATATAAGTGACTGGGACGGAGCCTTGATATGATAATAGAAAATATCTGTACATATACTTTAAAGAAAACAGAAGATATTGGAAACATGATAAGCTCTTTTGGATTATATATTATATAAATATGTACTTTATATATTATAATCAGAAATATATCATGAATTATTAATCTAGAATACTAGAAGTGGTAAAGACTAAAATAAACCATTGTCTATATCTTAACTTTGATTATTTATATAAAGAGTATCAATGATATTCATACTATAGATTAATATATTAGCTAGCATGCTTTGATAATCAGTATATAATATATTATATAGTAAAAATAAAAGGCTTAAGGTTTCTAAAAAAATATTTAAGATAATCAGAACCTAACTAGCTAAATCAGCAGTTAGTAGTCACTGAATCAGGAATATACTTAAAATTTTAAATAACTATACTAGATTAAATAACTCAAGTATTAATAGATTTTAGAGCAACCAGAAACTTTATGAATCTATGATTCATACAGTAACTTAGGATACTTAAAAGATAGAAAGCAAAATCTGAACTAATTATAAGACTGAATAGAGAGAATTTAGGAATTCTTGTATTAATAATTAAGTCAGGAACTATATTTATAGCTGTAATAAGTTATCTTAAATAAATAGATTTTGATATGATATTACTGTTACGGACCCCTGCTAGCTGAACGAACTAGTAAGGCGGACTCGTTAGGCAGAAGGCTACGGCCGGAAGATGAGGACTCTTATCGAGTAGAATCCTGATCTGAGTAACCTATAAACCAGGACGGTTACACAACACGTGACCACGACGGACATGTCACTGACACGCTATAATATGGCAGTGCTACGACAGGACATGGCAGCGCTATGACAGGACATGGCAGCGCTATGACAGGACATGGCAGCGCTACAATATAATATATCGGTGACATGACATATCATGGCGATGCCATGATAAAGGATAGGATATAAGGACACTCTTTCATGTACTTAGCTAGTTCTGTTCTTCGTGCTCAATCTAATTATCTTTAAGTAACTATATGTTTTGGTAAAGCTTAGCAATAATACTCATCCGCACTTACTTACAGATAGCTGTACGGCACTATCTGGCCTTACTTCTCTTCTTTTATTTAGGACCAGTCTCTTTAGATAGTCATCAACCTGACTTACCTTGATTCAGTTCAAAGATACATATTGAAACGGGAGCTAAGCTAACAGGAACAGGGAGAAGCAATCATAGGGTTTGACACATTGAGCACCAGTCAGTATGAGTGTTACCCAGTGACAACTAATCATCATATTAACTACATCAAACACATCGCGTGCGCCACAGCAGGGCCCGATAACCAAGGAACTGATAGACATGATTAATCAGTTACAAGAAAGTGTCACTGTCTTAGAACAACAGAACCAGCTATTCGAAGATTGCTTAGCAGTCAAGTCTGTTAAGGTCCGACCACCCAAGCCATTTAACAGCAAACGAGCGAGGCTCAGAGCTTTCTTAACCCAGTTAGATCTGTACCTCAACATAAACAAGGAAAAGCTCAAGAATAAGAAGAACAAGATCTTTTTCGCGTCTACTTACCTAACTAGAGCAGTATTTAATTAATTCAAACCATATATCTGCAAATAATAAGAAAAGTTAGTAAGCAACCAGAATAATAATACAAAGCAACTTTTTACTAGTTATGCCAGATTTAAACAGCATCTCAAACAGATATTCGAAGATATTGATACAGCATGAAACACTGAGCAAAAGTTATAATGACTTAAGCAGACTGGATCAGTATCTATATATACTTCAGAGTTTCAGTAAGTCATTAGTCACTTAGACTGGAATGACGATGTCTATATCACACGATTCAAAGAAGAACTCAAGATAGAGATCCAAGAAAAGATCATTTAGCAAGAATAACCGGATATATTAACTAAGATGATTAAAGCAGCAGTTAA